TGTATATGTATATGTATATGTATATGTATATGTATATGTATATGTATGTATATGTATATGTATATGTATATGTACATATATATACATCTACATATATATTTAAATTCATATTGAATATATATATGTTATTGATATGCATACAATGCTGTTCAGTTCCCCTGCACCTTTTATATATCTTAGGCAGCCTGGTGGCCCCCATTCTTAATGACTCACTGTACTGGTGTTGGACCAAGCAGATACCTGCTTGGCTTTATCTGTACTGCAGAACTCCTAACCTCAAGTAGTTTGCCAGTCTCAGCTATGGCCTAGCAGCAAGGATTACAGGTGGACACCACCAAGCCCAGTCAGGAAATGGATTCTTCCCAGCCCTTTGCAAATGCATTCTAGCTCTCTTCTTCAGGAGGCTGTCATTCCTATATTTTAAGCCATGGTCCTGAAATCTAATTCCTGTTCTCAAATAATATCTTTAAAAAAAAAAGATACATTTTAAATCACCTTTCTTTCTCAATATATTGTTCTCTCTTCCCCCACTCAAAAAGCCATTCCTAATAATAAAAAAAAAATTTTAAAGAAAGGAAAACAAAAAAAAAAGAAAGAAAAAGGGGGCAGCTAGGTGGTGCAGTGGATAGAGTGCTGACCTTGGAGTCAGAAGAACCTGAGTTCAAATCCAGTCTCAGACATACAACACATGACACTTATTAGCTGTGTGACCCTGGGCAAGTCACTTCATCCTGATTGCCTAGCAAAAAGCAAAAAAAAAAAAAAAAAAAAAGGAAAACAGTTCAGCAAAATTAACTAAAATATGAATTAAGCGTGCCAGTGTGTGCTGCATCCCACCTCCATAGCCTCCCACCTCAGCAATTTAGGGAGTGAGAGGTGGGGAGAGGGGGTTGGCGCATTCTCATATTTTTCTTTCAGGGCGAAACTTGGTCATTATCATTACATTGTTTCATTTTGATATTGTTACTGTTGTTCTTCCACTGACGTTATTGTGGTCATTGGATACATGGTTTTCCTGGCTCTGCTTATTTCACTTGACATCAGTCCGTTTAAGTCTTCCAATGTTTCTCTGAAATCGTCATATTCATCGTATTTCTTACAGCACAGGAATATCAGCTGATACTCGCATACCACAACTTCATGGACATCTACTTTGTTTCCAGTTCTTGGCCACTACCAAAAATGCTGCTATACATATTTTGTTGTACTTAGGGCTTTTCTTTCTAATTTTTATCTCCTTGGCCACATGCCTGGCAATGAGATATCTGCACCAAAGGGCATGGGCATTTTGGTAATTTTCTTAGCATCATTCCATGTCTTAAAATGTCATGTCTTAAAATGGTTGGACCAAACCTGAAACTCTACCAACAGCATAATAGTGTGCCTGTCTACCCACAGCCCCTCTACCATGTACTACTGCCATCTTTGCCAATTTTCTGGGTGTGAGGTGAAACCTCAAAGTGGCTTCGATTGGCATTTTCCTATTATTAGTGATTTGACACGATATGATTATTAATAGTTTGTAATTCTTTTGAGAAGTGCTGCTTCTAGCTGTGTGACCCTGGGCAAGTCACTTAACCCCAATTGCCTAGCCAAAAACAAAACAAAACAAAACAAAAAAACAGAGAAGTGCTTCTTCATCACCTTTGACAGTTTATTTAGAGGTGAATGGCTTTTGGATGCCATTTTCTTAACTAGCTGTTAACTTGCCTTTGATGTTCAATAGTAATGGGAAAAAAAAGGCAACCCAAACCACCTGTGCCCCTAAAATCTTCTTCAGTTTCATGTCCAAAATTCCCTTTGCTGGAGAACAGCTTGTAGTAAACTGGTAAAGACCCCTCCCCCCCCACCCCAGAACTCTAACTGTCCTTCACTCTTGGTTCTCTGACTCTAGAATTCAATGTTCTTTCCACCAAGCTGCCTCTTCCAGTAGGAGGCTGCTTGACCATGGGCAAGACCCTTCACCTCTTTGAACCTCAGTTTCCTCGTCTGTAAGATGAGGATAATAGTACTTGTGCTAACTACCTCACAAAGTTGTCGAGAGGAAAGTGTTTTGTAAACTTCAAAGTGCCCTTCAAAGTGTAAGGATAGGCAGTGTGGCCTGGTGGCTAAAGAGCTGGATTTGGAGTCAGGAAGAGCTGGATTTGAGATCTTGCTTCTGAGACATACTGACCTTTAGAGGAAGTCTTCAAAATGGAGTGACTGTACAACAATGGAATGGGCTGACTGACTAGGTAGTAATTTACCTGCCTCTTGAAGTATTAGAGCAAAGGCTGGACACCTGCCTGTCAATGGATCTGGGGCTGGGACTCAAATACTAAGTGGGAAGCTGGGCTAGACATATGCTCTTTGAGAACCCTTTCAACTCTGAGGGTCTAGTCCCAGCACGCAGTATTTCAGGGGGACATGGCAATGGAAGAAGTCCTCAGAGGAGAGGTAAGCCTTCCTCTTGTGCCTCTGTGGACATCTGGGGGAGACAGCACCACAGGAATAGCATTTCTAAGTCTGAGGCACCCTAAGGAGAAGGGATGGTGAGATCTGTAAGGACAAAGCTGTTTTCCTCTATGGACTGGGTTCTCCCCTCACTTTCCTGTTGGGCCCTAGATACAGCTTGTGCACAGGGGTGGGAGGTGGGAATGTCAAGAGACTTTGGCTGGGGAATCTTCAGAACTCAGAGGAGGTAAGAGAAATGCAAGAAAAATGACTGACTTTCTCTCTGTGTCTCTCTCTCTGTGTGTCTCTGTCTCTCTGTCCTTCTGTCTCATCTCTGTCATCTCTGTGTCCCCACCATGACTTATATCTATACCCATGCCTCTTTCTCCTGCCCTTTTCTCCTGCCCTGTGCTTTAATGACTTCACCCACTGCTCCTTTCCTTTTATCCCTTTGTATGACTATGTTTCTGTCTTCTGTCTCTCTCTGCTTTTGTGTGTGTGTTCGTGTGTGTACTTCTTTCTCCACCCTCTCATGCCTCTTCTCCCCTTCTCACCCTTTGCCACTGTCTCTCCTGGGCTCCTACAGCCTTCTGGGCATTCCTCTGGTTCGTTGGTTTCTGTTTCTTGGCCAACCAGTGGCAGGTCTCCAAACCTGAGGACAACCCTATGAATGAGGGGACAGACGCAGCTCGAGCTGCCATCACCTTCTCCTTCTTCTCCATCTTTACCTGGGTAAGTTGAGACCCTTTGCTTCTGGTCCAGCTACCAGAAATCATGTTTTCCTTCCTCTAGGCTGGTTTCAGCAGGAGCCGACTATTTGCAGGCAGAGCATACTGAGCATCGGTCTTCGGATGCCATGCCATACCTGTCATCGGCCCATCCACCAGCATTTGGCCAGAGCGTGTATTTGCATTAACTGTTGGGGTTAGGGGCCATGAAGCAGCTAAGTGTATGAAGGGCTAACAGAAGGCCTGAAACTGGGACCAGCCTTCCAAATCCAGTTGTCCAGGTGATCACCAGCCCCTTATTGTCCTTACTGGTAGGTGCCACCGTTGTGGCTCTGGCAATGTCTTGCTCTGGCTGGATGAGGCTTTAGGAATGGACAAGCTGGTCAGTGTTGCCATGAGGCAGAGACACAGAGACAGAGACAGAGATGGGGGAGGGTGGGGTGGGAAGAAAAGGTACAGATGTGAGAAGAATGCCAGAGAGTCCTTGGACAGGGATCAAGCGACCTGCTTCTTCTTTTTTTTCTTTTTTTTGGTTAGGCAATGGGGTTAAGTGACTTGCCCAGGGTCACACAGCTAGTAAGTGTTATGCATCTGAAGTCTGATTTGAACTCAGGTCCCCCTGACCCCAGGGCCGGTGCTCAAGTGTTTCAAAAGGAGAGCTCGGTGTCCTATGGAAAAGGGCGGTCACTCACGCCCAAGGTCATTAGGCCTTTGGCTTTGACCACTAGCTTGAGAAACAACAAGCCATTACCGTTGGTTTCTAGATTTTCCTGATCCAAAGACACCTGCTTTCACTTTGTCCCCCCAGTGCTTCATTTCCCAAATGCGCAGGGCACTGTCCTTGGTGCTGGGGCTGCAAAGATGAAAAGCACCACAGCCCCTGCCTTCAGGGAGTTTATATCCTAACAGAGAAGATGAAACGAGAAAAGCATGCCTTGTTGTACCCCAGGCAGTCGCTTGTCTTGTCTGCTTGGGCTCCTCGCCCTGGCTCCTCCTGCTAGTTCTCAGACATCTCCACTGAAACCAGAGGTTCCCCTTTTCCGAGAAGCTTTTGGTTAGCAGTGACCAAAATCGTAGTTACCATAACCTCATTGGGGATTTGGAGGCCAGGGTAGGAAGAAAAGAGGTGAGGGAGACAGCTCGCAGAAGCCCCTGGTCAGACCTACATTCTATGGATTTGTATTCAAGCTTCTTCCTCCAGAAGGGTTAGTGTGGGCATCCACCCCTGTGGTGGGAGAAAGGACACAGGGTGGAGGGGGGGGCAGCTAGGTGGCACAGTGGATAGAGCACCAGCCCTGGAGTCAGGAGGACCTGAGTTCAAATCCAACCTCAGACATATAACACTCGCTAGCTGTGTGACTCTGGGCAAGTCACTTAACCCCAATTGCCTCACAAGAAGAAGGAAGGAAGGAAGGAAGGAAGGAAGGAAGGAAGGAAGGAAGGAAGGAAGGAAGGAAGGAAGGA